TGACCCAGGGAAGAGAGAAGTCATGCAGGCCCGCGCTTGAGGCGAAACCCGGTTGCAAGCCGCCCCGAGATCGTCTCACATGGCTCCTTGGCCATAGCTTCGTGCGCGTGGGTGAGGTGTGTGTGTGTGTGTGTGTGTGTGTGTGTGTGTGTGTGTGTGTGTGTGTGTGTGTGTGTGTGTGTGTGTGTGTGTGTGTGTGTGTGTGTGTGTGTGTGTGCTGGGGGGGCGGGGTGAGTTCTTCACGCTGAAAACAGTCTTTTAGGGGTCTGTGGTAGACTAGCTATACTAAGTATCTTACATAGAACATAGTAGACTAGCTATACATGCAACTCCTTGGTCAAGCGCATAGGCATACACGTACAGCATAGGCATACAAGCATACACGGAGTTGCATGTGGATGCTCGCAAAGTAGTCTGCAAGCTGGCGGGCGATCGGGTGGTCGAAGACGAGGATGGCGGGAAGGTCCTCGCCCGTCGGCTGCTGCAACTGGTTCCCCAGCAGCTCGACCGCGCCCACCGAGTCGAGCCCCGACTCGAGCAGCAGCGCATCGGCGTCGATGTGCTCTCCGGACAGCTCATACAGATTTGCGAGCACCGTCTCCAGCGTGTCTGCCGGATCGCAGGAGGAGGCGGCGTGGGCGCCGCCGGCGGGCCGGTCGGAGGTGGCGGGCGGCACAATAATGGAGCCTTCGGCCTCGTCGACTGAGGGCCATTCCCGTTGGCCTTGCCCCCGACCTTGATTGAGAATGGTGCGACGGATGCGATCGAATTGAGTGGCGTCGAAGAAGGGCCAATCTCTCTCTGGTCCTCCGCCAAGGGGACGTGTAGCGCGCCATCACCTTGCTCGGTTGGACCTGCGAACGAGAGGGTTGGATGTGAGTGCTGAACAGTCCTCCATTGCGCGGCGGTTACGACCTTTCCCCTCTGCTGCCATCACCGCCGCCTCGACCGCCGCTACCACGCCATCTCCCACGGCTGCCATCGCGCATGCGAGAGAGGTGGCTGGGGGGCCGGCTGGGGCGGGTGAGTGGCGAGATGGCCGATCGGCCCTTCACGGGGCCCTCCCCCCCCCTCGGGTGAGGCGCGGCCGCGCCTCAGCGCCCCCGCCGCCCCTCAGCGACCCCCGGAGCCCCAAGTTCCCCACGCCGCGCTTCGCTATCTGATATTTCGCCCTTCCCCACGCCGGATAAAACCTTGATTTTGACCATTGCGCGACAAAGGTACATCTCGGTGCCTTCCAGAGGCAGCTGCGACCCCGCCGAGTGGACGGTAACGCACAGCAGGTGGCGCGGTGCGTTACCGTCCACTCCGCTGGATCGCAGCTGCCTCTGCGCGTCCTGGGGATGTACCTTTGTCGCGCGCCGGAGACGACTCGACGCCGCTGAGATCGGAGATCAAGCTCTGACAGGTCGCACGTCGCTCCTTTGACGCCGACGTGACTCACCCGTGCAGATCACATCAGGACACGGTCTCGACGCGCTCGGTACGACGCCTGCGACCCGTCTTGGGTCAAGTGGCACGACGCTCATCGCGCCTACCAGCGCTGCCGTACAGGTTGCCACGACGAGGTCGAGCACGCTTCTATACGCTCGCCCAGCCTCCCTTTCCATCCCATTAGGCAGCCTGGGAACGGTGGCGGTAAGAGGCAAAGCCTACGAGGGGTGGTGGAACCACATGTCGCGGCTACTGCCGGCTCGACCCCACGATAGCCTCCGGAGGCTGACTTTGCGGCACCATCATCGGACGATGTCGACGAGTTGGGTCGCGCTCGCGGTAGCCAGGTAGCCCCCCATACTAGTAGCACCGGCCATGGCCGCAGGAAGCTCGGGGGAGGGCGCTGGGAGCAACACGGAGCTCCGTTGGACGCGTTTTCAAGATTAGCGTGTCAGAGTGAATTGGAACTAGCCAGAGGGCATCAGAGAAGGGGGACCAAGAGGAGTCGAGTCTGAGCCACCCCGCATAGAGCCCATGTCTTTGCCCCCGAAGGGGGGGTCGCGTTCAAATGCCCGGAACGGCCGTCTCAGTGGCTGTCCGGCCAGCGCTATCACCGTCGCACGGGCGGGGACCTGTTCCTTTTTACCCATCTCACAGTAGAGAGGTGTCCGTTTTTATTTATTTATTTGGGCAAAAACGGGCGATGAATTGAGTTCTTTTTCTTGTACCCCCCAGCCGTAGGCGTACGTAGCCGCGCAGGCGCGGGGGGGGCAGAGGGTGTCCATGCGGGGGGGGGGAGGATCCAGCTCGGGGAGGTTTCCTCAAGGGCAAGATGTCGAGCACCCTGCGGCACATCAATGGCAAGCAGATGAAGATCCTGGCCGCTGGCAGGGGGCACCCGCTCTTCGTGTGCATGGTGCGCGAGATCATCGCGCACGTCAAGCAGCGGTACGTGACCCCCTACTCGCTGAACTACACGGGCCCCGCACTCCTGGAGCACTGCTACCAGTCGCTCGGTGGCGACGAGTCCGCGCTCGACGTCGCGGTCACGTACCGCGACAGTCGAAATGCCAAGTGGCCCTATGGGGGGATGATTGGCACTGACGGCATGATTGCCTTTGAGCAGCCGAACCGGTACGACTACCAAGAGCTCGTGGACGAGACGGCGCGCGCGAGGGGTGGGCATTACGACGCGCTGGTTAAGGCGGGCGTCGTCTACTCGCCCACTTGCAAGCTGCGCGCTTCCGCGGAAGCGCGGGGACCTCCTCCGTGAACGCAGACGAACGTTTTTTATTTTTATGGGAGCACGTGTGGATGAGTTTTGAGAAATACTTCCAGGCAGCCTTCGCATAGGCGGGTCGGCAAGTCGGCCCGACAGCACAGCCGTCCCCCGAGTTGTTGGTGGCTGCGCCTCCGCTGCCGCCGCCTCCGCTGCCGCCGCCTCCGCACGAAGGATACATTGTGCCTATATGCGTTGCGTGCTCGCGCTCCTGGCGCTTGCGTTTCGTTTCACCGACGCCTGTACTGCGTACGCTGTCGGAAAGGGCGCATCGGTCGACGGGAGTGTAATGCTCTCCCATTCAGAAGATTCGTCCAACACACACGATCCAAGGATAGCATTCGTGCCAGCGGCAGATCACGAGGAGGGATCAAAGATGCCGGTGTACCCAGACGGCGAAAACTACCCGCGCTTTGTTGGCGTTGATCGTGGCTCGACGTATGAGCCTGTGGGGGCGCAAAAGGCGACGAAGCCGCTCGGGTATATTGATCAGGTGTCGCACACCATGGCATACATTGACAGCACGTATGCGATGCAAAACGAGTGCCACCTCATGTTCGGCGAGTCGACCGCTTCGTCTGCGTTTCGCGCTCTTGATAAGGCCGCGGATGGTGGCACGGCCCTCTTTTGCGTGAACGAGCTGACCCGAGTCGCAGCCCAGCGCGTGTGCAGCGCGCGTGAGGCAATCAAGCTGATGGGGAGCCTCGCAGAGGAGCACGGCTTCTACGGAGCCGATGGAGGCGCGGGTGAGGTCCTGATGGTGGGAGATACGGAGGAGGTCTTCATATTCCACATCCTATCCGACCCCACAAAGAAGAGCGCAATCTGGGTCGCGCAGCGCGTCCCCGACGACCACGCTGCCGTGATCGCGAACTGCTTTTCCATCCGCGAAGTGGACCTCGACGACTCGCACACCTTCCTTGGGTCGTCCAACATGAAGTCGATCGCGCTCGAGTACGGCCTGTGGGACGGCAAGGGCCTGCTCGACTTTAGCGGCGCCTTCAGTGGGGGTGAATACGCCTCCAAATATTATACCGGTCGTCGCGTTTGGGACGGGTATCGCCGTTTCGCACCGTCGCTCAAGCTTAACCCCGAGTATGGCTCCTTCAAGCTCGACCGCCCCTACCCAGTGTCAGTCAAGGTGGACAAGAAGCTGAGCGTGCACGACCTCATGGCTGCGAGCCGGTCGCACTACGAAGGCACTGAGTTTGACATGACAAAGGGCCTCGCCGCCGGCCCCTTTGGCTCGCCGGATCGCTATGGGGAGGGCAAGGGTCAACCTGGCTATTCGAAGCCACCCCAGGGGGCGTGGGAACGGACGGTGGGTCTCTTTCGCACGACCGGCACCAAGATCATCACGGCCAACAGCAATCTGCCCGACGCGGCGGCGGGGACGGTCTGGTGGGCGGCAGGCGACTCCTCCAAGTCGGTCTATGTGCCGAGCATGGTGTCTGCCGGCAGTGTGCCAATGTCGCTCTCGCTTGGAAACGAGGCGGAACTGGACCGCGGCTCCGCCTTTTGGGCGCACCGCTACATTGCCAACCTCGTCCAGCTGCGCTACAACTAGGTGCCGGTGCAGCTGCAGTTGAAACGGATATGCTAGAGGGGCCTACCTTCGCCCCTACCACCGTGCCGCCCGTCGTTAGCATGGCCGTCGTTACTTTCGCCGCCGCCTCTGCTGCTTGTCGGCGGAGCGCCTCGCGCCTTCCCTCGTCTCCATGCTCTTGGTCTTGTTCTTTTTGTTTTCCTGCGCTTCCTGTCGCTGGGCCGGCGACGTATCTTGGTTCTTGCCGTCTGCCGGAGCGTCCTGCCGGGCCGCGTTTCCTTCCCCTCGTGACATGCCCACACACGACACATCTCACATGAGACGTTTCCGAATATCCATGAATAGACAGTGGTAAAAGACTGAGTGAAAACAACAGCACATTAACCTTCTCTCTCGTCCCATGACGTCATCTCCTCATCTTCATGTGCCTTACACGCACCGCCCCTGGTCGCAATACCCAATAGACAGAGTCGGAGATAACCAAGCGCACAAAACTGCCGTGCTGCGACGGTCTCCATTCATTGAAGGAGGGGTTCAGGGAGCACGGGCTCACGAGAAGCCGCCCAGCGAGACGGGGAGCGGCTTGGGCTCGAAGATGCGGCTGAGTGCCGCCGCCTGGTCCGGGTCGGTCTGCGGCTGGATGAGGTAGCCAAGGCCCTTGCCCGCGTGCAGGAGGGCGGGGTGGAGGCGGAAGTAGGCGCGAGCGACGAGCTTGCCTGCTCGGCAACGACTTTAATCAGCGGTGGGGCACACTTATTCAGCGGGCGCGCGAGGTGGAGCGCTCGCCAAGAGCAAAGAGGAGCTTTGCTCGGCGAGGCATGGAGCCGCAAAAGTAGATGCCGCCCACGTGCGCCTGCCAGACGAGGAGGCGAAGCTCAGCCGCCATTCCCTCGGCCCCTTCCGAGCAGCTGCCGAACACGTGCCTGGTAGCCCGCTAGCGTCGCGGCGTCCCGCATGCCGGGCATCATCCGCGCTACCCACTGCAGCGGCATCCCCTGCCGCGAGGTGGTGAAGGTGGAGTCGACGATCATGTAGATTGCTCCGTCGATGTTGCCAGCCGCCTCGTCTCGGTCCGCGAGCGTCTCGAGCAGGTACACCAACTTGTGCAGCCAGAACTGGCGCACCGCCTCCGGACTCAGGCACTTGAGCGCCAGCTCGTAGTCGCAGTCCTCGATCGCCACGACGACCACTCCGGCGCCCGTCCTTGCAATGTATCGTGGGAGCAGCCGCATGATCGCCTCGCCGTGCGGCCACTCCTCCGGCGCCGGGTGCGCGCGCACGAAGGCAGCAATCGCGTCGTAACCGACCTCCCTCCGCAGCGCCAGCGAAGCCTCGCACCGGCGGAGCGCCGTCTGCAGGTCCCAATCGCAGCTCGACAGCATGCGCAGCAGCCAGCTATCGCGGGCCGCGGCGCCGTCGGCTCCGAGGCGATCTCGCAGCCAGGCGAGCTCGGCCGCGTGCTCTGCTGCGAGCTTAGACGTCGGGCCGAGCGGGGTGGGCAGCGCAAAGGTGGCGCTCGGCTGAGTGGGAGAATTCAGGAGGGAGAGCAGAGTGTCGCTGACAGCGCGGGCTACGGCGAGCGGGAGCGCAAGCGCAAAACAAGCAGCAGAGGAGAGGGTTGTGAGCATTGGCCGGAGGGAGCCGGCCGCGGGAGCGTCGAGGTGGAGGACTTCTAGCGGGAAGGAGCAGTGGTCGAGCCGGGCGCCACTTCCTTTGCCAGAAGAATTCTACCAATCAGCCCCTCTCACAGCAGACTGGCACGAACTAGCACCACAAAAGGCACAGCAGACAACGGCCCCTTATGGGCCGTCGAAGAGGCCGTCATACTCCTCCGGCCCCCTTCCCAACCCTCCCCTCGTCTGAACCACACGTGTCCCTCCATTCACACTCTCCCAGTCCTTCCTGGTCTACCGCGTGAAGAAGGAAGGAGCGGGAGGGAGGGCAGCGCTCCGCAACGGATCTCGCGCACCATTTTGCGGTGGCTGAGCACCGACCAGGCGTTCCCCTCTCTGTCGTACCGCGTCGTATTTTACCCTGCACACGGGTCAGCCTGCGAGCCACATATCCACGCAAGCGTGGTCCGCGCGCATGGCATACACAGCTGTGAAAAAGTCCAACGCCACTCCGGCCCCCACGCAAGCCACAGGTGCGCCACAGTGCGCCAGTCCCGTGCCCAGTGTTGTGCGAGGGTACGCCACCGCTGTGCTCCTCGAGCGCGCTCTCGGCGCTCTCGCTAATATGATTCGCTCCGGCGGCTCGGGCAGACCCTACTCCCGCGAAGAAATCTGCTGGGGCTCCTTCGAGCGCAACACGGGTGCGTGGTGTCCGTTCACCGAGCAGGACGCCATCGAGGCCGCCTATCAGGCGAACGAGGCGTCGATCCACCTCCCCGCCTGCTTTGACGCGACGGTGCACTTTTCTGAGCCCCATTGCTTCCAGCGGACGCCCGCGGTCGGCTCCAAGCCGTCGGGGTTTCGTTCCGTCCTTCGCGGCGAGGTGACTGCTCAACCTCCTCCATAATCCCCCTGCGACCCATTCACCGCCGCGTCCCATCGCTTCGAGGTGGGCAGCGTGGTGCGGCTGCATTACTGGGCGAGCAGCAAGACGTTTCGGCTCGACGCGCCGACGAACGAGCCGCCCTCGTACGTGGTGGATGTCAAGATCGAGGCCGCGCCACAGGAGCGGCCGGTTGCCTGGCAGTGGCTCGATCTCCCCCCGAGCGCGCTCGCGTCTGCAATGGACCTCAACTGGCACTCGTTCGCGCCGGAGCACTCGGAGGCGATCGAGCAGGCGTCGAGGGCGACGATGGGCCGTGTGGAGATCATCATCGGTCTGACCAAGTACGTCATCCAAAACTTCAACGGCGCGTATGCCGAGCAGCGAAACGAGAGGACGGGCGCGCGCAGGTCGGTGCGGCGTGGCTACGCGTCGGATGCAGCGCCGCCCGCGGTAGCCGCAGCGGAGCGCGTCGGCACAGGCTGTCCGCACGGCCCTCACCCGTCGCCCGCTGTGCCGTGTAGGCGCCCGACGATTTGGCCTCCGACTTTTGCGGGCGCAGAGCCGCGGAGCCTCACCCACAGACAACAGCCCCGCCGAGACGACGCCTCCCCGAGACGAAGCCGCGAGACGGACCCTCGAGACGAAGCCGCACACGCGCCTCCCTCCTCCCCCTCCTCCCTCTCCTCCCTCTCCCTAGACACCCCTCTCCCCAAACACCCCTCGCCACACACCCCTCCTCCTCTCTCTGACCCTCCCGTCCTCCCTCCCGTGCACCACGCCTCGCGGCCTCTCTCGCCCTCGTCCCCTGCCCGCCCTTCCCCACCTCAGCCTCCTCCCCTCCCCCCCCCC